CATACTGTCTCTTCCTATGTGTGTCTTTGTTGTCTTTATCCCTACCCTACTAGGATGTAGGCTCCATTTAGGCAGAATTTTTTATCTATTTCGTTCACTGCTATTTTCCCATCATTTAGAACAATGCCTGACTCATAGAAGATGCTCGGTAAGAATTCATGGAATTAATGAATGTTAGCTTTAGCCTGTTTAACACTGTGCCTCAGCCAGCTATAAACTGTTATTTGTACATACTCATAGAAGCCTAGAGGTTATGTGTGTGTATGTATTTATGTATACATCTGTGTGTGTATAAAAGTAAATTAAGGCAGTCTTTGATTCTTATTGTAAGAGACTATTATGTGTATTATTCTTTCTGTTTAAAAAATGTAACTGTGTAGCGACAGTCTTTTGTGGGTGTCTATTTTCACTGCCTAATTTCACTTCAAAAAATAGCGCCATTTCTCATCCCTCAGATATGAATGCTTTAAATAGTCACATATTTTTAGTAGAAAAAGAAGTCCCAGATTAGTTCATATTTCTAACTTATACCAGGTTTCCTTGTTTTATTGCAAACCAAAAATAATGCAAATAAACTATATTTGTTGAGCAAATCAAACTGAAGTTTAACACTGTTGTTTACTATGACTCGTTTGAGTGTAGGTGTCCTTTATGTTGTTGTTTTACAACAGTGTTTGCTTACAGGAGGCCCTAGCTCTTAGCCAGTATGTTTGAAACTGAACTACTGATATATTTTTGTTCTTTTTTTGCCAGTAGAACTGTTGGATATTCAAATCTCAAGGTTGCTGATTTGCCTCATATCTCTTCATTGTTTTCCACATTGGTCCATTGGTGTGGGATATATGAGGTCTGTTTTCTTTCTGGGGAAAAGCCCTGGAGACTGTATACATTGAGGAGCAGACATTGTCTGTACAATGAATGGAGTAATGAGCTACTGTTGTTTATTCTTCTGTAATATAATTGGTTGAATTCAGACAATAGTGTAGCATCTGTTGTTATACTATGCAGGGAAATGTCAAAACAGAAAGCAAGCAGACAGGTGGATTAAAGGGAGAGAATGAGGGAAAACCAAGAAATATCACATTAAGTTTTGATTTAAAGTAGGTGAAAAGGAATAATCATGACAAAAATGATAGCACCAAAAACTGTCATATGTTGATCACTGTATTACGTATAGCATGAGGATCAATGCTCAGCATTTGTCACTGAGTGCTGACCAAGTGTCAGCATTTGCTAAGTGAAGTCAGGGACAGGGCCAAGATGGCCGATGAGAAGCAGAGGCTCCCATCAAAAAGAACCATAATTAGCGTGTGAATCCTGCATCAGCAACCAAAGTATTCAGATTCTCTCATCAGAACTGACTAGGCAGCTGGCGTTATCCACGGAGAGGAAGGAAGAGCAGTGTGGTGTGGCGGCCCACCTAAAAACATTCTGCATCTTATGGAAGGATGCTGTGAGGAAGATGTTACTGGCTCTGTTTCTATGAGGAAACTGAAATTCATAAAGACTGTGATTTGCCTAATTCCCAGGATTTGAATGCATGTCTGCCATACCCCAAAACCTATGTTTCTAACCATAACATTGCATTTAATTAAAAATTTTTAAACTGCACTGTCAGAAGTCAGAATACTGACTTTAAGGGGAAGTAGTTCCCAGGAAAGGGTATGCTTCTGAGATACTTGATCAGCATTCTGGTTTTACAGATATGTTGACTTTGAAACTTTATCAAGTTGTACACTTAAGATTTGTGTACTTTTTCATATGTGTGGTATACTTTAATAAAAACTTTAAAACAATTACAAAATACATGACTTTGAACAGAAAGGATAAAGCTTTATTCAATACAACACTGACTCAAATTTTGAAAAAAGTTTCAAATATACTTATATAAAATATGCCTGAAAAATTAAGGAAGAGTATCTGGGCGATGAAAAAGTTTTGAAAATAAATAGTAGTGATGGTTGTACAACATTGTGAATTTATTTAATGCCACTGAATTGTACACTTAATGGTTAAAATATTTTTAAAATTAGTGGATATAAACAATCTTGGTGATGGCTATCTTAATGGTGAATCTACAGATTAGTTTTAATGTTTTTCTTTTAATCTATTTTTGCAATGAATTTATATTACTTTTGTAATTGGGAAAAAATGTTTTATAATCTCAAAGATATGCTTGTAAAGAACCACCATTGTGGCTGGGCGCAGTGGTTCACACCTGTAATCCCAGCACTTTGGGAGGCCTAGGCAGATGCATCACTTGAGGTCAGGAGTTTGAGATCAGCCTGGCCAGCATGGCAAAACCCCATCGCTACTAAAAATACAAAAATTAGCCAGGTGTGGTGGCACGCGCCTGTAATCCCAGCTACCCAGGAGGCTGAGGTGGGAGAATCGCTTGAACTTGGGAGATGGAGGTTGCAGAGAGCCGAGATAAACTCTAGCCTAGGTGACAGAGCGAGACTCCATCTCAAAAAAAAGAACCACCACTGTTAACTGAGAAATGGATGATCCCATTAACAGTTTAGAAAATGTATATAACTCTAATCCACAGAGGTTTATGCTTAAAAGCAACTCATGGTTTCCCTTTAAGGGACACATGTGGAAAATTAATCTGAACAGTTAATGCAAGGAGGAATCATACCTCAGAGAAAGGAGAAGTAAGATGTTTAATTCTTAGTTACTAGAAGTAGAGGCTATGAGATTCACATTCTTCTAGCATTTATTGAACACCTACTGTGTGCCTATAATCATACTAAGCACTTTCACCTACATTATTTCCGTTAGCATGTCAGTTTATTCCTTCCCTTCCAAGGGCATATTGAGCATCTACTTTGTACTATGCACTACATTTGGAATAAGAAGTAATACATGCTCCCATGCCATTATGGAGCTTGCAGGCTAGTAAGAAGGCCAGGCAGTAAATAAATAACTATGGTACTATATAGTGAATGCTGTAATTGGCATATCAACTAGCATTTTATTTTGATATACACAGGTTAATCCATTCATTTGGTTACTAATATATGATAATATTACTGAAATAGTTTAATAGTTGGAACTATTCAGCTGAAACTCATTGCTGTCACAGAACACCAATATCAGGTAAACTGCCACTCATGCTGTCAGAAAAAAGGGCAAAAGTGACTGAAAAAAAAGCAAAAATATATTTTTAACTGTATTTCTTATGTCTCCATTTCTGGACATCAATTTCCTCACATAAAAAATGAGAGTATTGGGCTGTTTGACAAATGCAGCCCCTTCCAGATCTGATATTCTGTGTAGATCTCTTCCTTATGAGAAAAGCAACTGTCACTGAAGCCTATTATGTGTCAGATGCCATACTGAAAATTTTATATATATTGCCTATATAATTCCCACCTCTCTAATCCCCTATAAGGTAGGTGGTTATTCAGTGCCTCCAGAGGGAAAATAACTTCAGTCATAGGCGAGACTAGCTTTTTCTATACATTGCAGAAATTTTGAATGATTTGAAAAAAATACTTCAGTATTAGAGCCAACCAAATTCACCTGCATGACACAAATTACTTAATTTCTTATCCATACTTGTGTCTGAGCCAACTTTTTCTGTTGGTTATTTTAAACATTTTTTAACAGATAATTTGCATAGGTCAAAATAGGCATATATGCAGAAAACACCAGCTGTCACCTCTTCCACCTTGTTTCCCCTACCCTCTGTAGGTTACCATTTTTGTTTCTTTTTATTTGTGTAAGTTTATTACCTCCAAAGAACCGGCTTATTTATTAGCTGACTAGTTTTATATTTCTTGTTTTCCTAAATTATTTATTTATACTTTTACTTTATTATCAGCTTTCCTTCCACTTATTTTATTGGGTTTTTTTTTTCACTAGTTTTAAAATTTTTTTTGTTCCCAGACACTGATAATTCACTAGCTTTTAAAATCTAATTCTTAATTCACTTATTTTTATTCTTTAATTTATAATGGCATGAGAATGTTAAGGCTATGAATTTCCTCAGAGCACTGCTTTAGATGAATTTCATGGATTCTAACATGAAGTCTTTCTCAGGGTTCTAGACAAAAAAGGTTTTAGTAATTTTTATAGATTCCAATGTTATTAGGGACCTCAGAGACCATCTCCTAATGGAATGTCACAAATGCGAAACAATGTAATACTAAAACCTGGATTCAAGCCCACGCTAGCCATAAGGCCTTCCAGCAGTTTACTTCACCTGCTTAAGTCAAATGAAGGGTTTGGTCCATCTGTAGGTCCAGAAATCAATGACTAAGATTTGGCCAAATCCCATAGCGAGTTAGTGGCAAAGCCAGAACTAGGACTGTGGTCTTCTTCTACCAATAAACCTGATATTTGAAGTTCTTTCCATGTTTTAAAACTTTTCTTTTATTGTGGCAAAATATATGTACACTAACTTGCCATTCTTAAGTATACAATTCAGTGGCATTAATTGTATTCACAGTATTATCCAACCACCACCACTATTTCCAAAATGTTTTCATCACCCTAAACAGAATTTCCCCATTCCATTTTGACATAAACATAATAATCCAGTATTCTACAAACTCTGCAGTTACGTCTACTTGAAAAATGTATTTCTCATATAAATATATTTCTGTGTGTGTGTGTCTTTTCTGAATGCATCTAATAGCTTTAATTCATACCCTAGAAAGGTATCAATTGGGTATTTTGATATGAATGTCTTTGATCACAAATATCTGAGCCCTTCAGTTAAAAAAAATGCTTTTTCTGTGTAGTTTCCTATATATTTAATAATATGTGTCATTAAGGTGGAATTTATTTTAATTACTTGCCTATTGGGCTAATATTAAGAAAATGAAAAATACATGATTCTATTTTTCAAGCATCAGGCTTGGCTAATAAATGGGGCAGTGACTTTTCTATGAATTTCTAGAAAGCAGCAGCTTTTTCTCTGGTCTCTTCCTCCCCACTCTCCATAGTCCAGTCCTTCCCACATTTTAACACCTGGTTTTTGCTCTCCCTAGGCCATCCGGCTGTCCTTAGAGCAAGCCCTGCCTCCTGAGCCAAAGGAAGAAAATGCTGAGCCTGTGAGCAAACTGCGGATCCGGACCCCCAGTGGCGAGTTCTTGGAGCGGCGTTTCCTGGCCAGCAGCAAGCTCCAGATTGTCTTTGATTTTGTAGCTTCCAAAGGATTTCCATGGGATGAGTACAAGTTACTGAGCACCTTTCCTAGGAGAGATGTAAGTTCCCATACCTATCGCAGGAAGTATATCCCAGTGGGAGATGTGCCATCATTAAAGCTGAACAAAGTAGTTCAAGAAAAGTCCTATGGTGCAGGCAACTACCAGACATCCAGAAGTCCTTCTTCGTTCTGCACACCACTCTGTCCTTAGCCTTTGGAGAAAGTATGGCTTCCCAGGCCAGCAGACATGTGTACCCAGTAGCCTATGTAAGAAATTAGGTACAGATCTTCCTTCCTACCTGTTTTCCCTATTCCATCATTCCAGTCTTTGCCGAGGTCTCATCTGTATTCCTCAAATGAGATATATTCTGTAGACCTCAGAATATACCTGAAAATTGTAAGTTTAACAGCTTAACAGTTAGATATCAGGGTCAACGAATATACGTTCACTAAGAATGACTCATGCAAAACAGAGAGTATTTTGTGATTTGATAGTCTTACTATACCCTGGGAGGTTACAGAGGGTGACCTGTATTCACTGTGTGCTTGCATTACAGCACAATATTTGATAGTCTCTCATAGTATTCTGGGGCAAAGTAAAGAGATATAGATGTGTTAGATTCATTGCTGATTAAATGGTTGCGTCCAAAAAATGTTAACCACCATTTCCTTGTAGGGAACCAAGAGGCTCTGTATTTAATCTTCTATTACTTACCATATTTATTAGCAACCTACATGAAGACTTTATCAGATTTATAGGTTATGAAAAATAAGATTCAAGAAAATCTTAAAATACTGAAACTTACACAAAATGAAGCTGCAGAAATTTTACAGAAACGTGTAGAAATAGATTCCTTTAGTAGAGGTTATGGTTGAATTAAGCTGAATACACATTAATAACATGTTGTGGCTGCCAACAAAAAAGCTAGCTCCTGTTTTAGAGGTGTAATCCCAACCAGAGGTTAACTTAATGGTCCTGTTTAACTCTGCACTAAGATAAACTACCCCTGGATAATGGGTGCACCAAAATCTCACAGCTCACCACTAAAGAACTTACTCATGTAACAAAATACCACCTGTTCCCCAAAAACCTATGGAAATAAAAAATTTAAAAAA